CACACACACACACACACACACACACACACATACACACATACACACACACACACATTTCTGTTGGAAAACCTAGTGACCCATTATGTAGGCAGCATTTTAAAGCATCAAAAGCACTCCAGACATGAAGGCTATTCCAAAAAGCATTCAGAATAATGATGCTGCCTTCTTTTTTCACTCAAAATTATACCCAATACTTTGCATAACGTGAGAGAAAAGTCGATTATAAATATAAATCATTCAAAACTAAAAATTATCAATAAAATAATAAAAGAATTTAAAAAAATCTATAAAGAGACTATATTGCCAAACGTTTTATGTGCTCTTCAGGGACGCGGGAAGTAGGGGTGCTGAGGGGGCTGCAGCACCCCCTGTTTTCACATGGTTGCAAATGAAATGCCAAGTTTGTTCATTTAAATTTTTTAGCATTTAATAATTTATTTGTAATGATCTCTGAAAAGTAAATTGTAAGTGGGCTATAATAAACCCATGTTTATCTTTATAAACATGATTAATTTTACTTGTGATGCTTTCTATATGGGATGATTAGCCTAATCCTCATGATTAGGTCTGAGGTTGGGCCCCAGAGCAGAGTACTGTCCGCTTTGTACAACAATACTACTACTAATCATGCCACTTAGCAGAAGTGGAAGTTGTTTGTAGAGAGAGTAGATCACATCCAGACATGACGCCACCTCATCTATGTAGGAACAGTCTCTTTTAAAGCTTGATTTTAATCTCCTTCTCTCTCTCCTGGCCTATGTCATCCTCCTCTCTCTATCTTTGTGTTTTATCTCTCCATGAGACGCTCTGGGCTCTGATTTCATGGTGGTTTACACTAGACAAAAAACACAGAGCAGATGCTAAAATTACAGTAGGGAGAAGCTAGCCAGTCTACAGACTGACAGCTGGGCGGCATGATGGTGCACACCATGCGATGGTAGAAATGTGTCACTGGTGGAGATTGTGCTGAAACATTTATAGCACTGTAGAGCGACTGTGTTGAAGACAGAAGTTTACAGCGTAGACAGCTTCAGTGATCATAATGGCAGTGTTTTAGCTGCAATGCTCCAATTTTGTCTTGTGTAGATGCTATATAAAACCTTATTCACACTAAGAATGCTAACTATATTAGAGTCTACACCAACAGACGATAATGTTCTGTTTATTATAAGTGCAAGCTGCAATTCTGTCAGGACCACTATCATCAAAGATGACTGAAAATTATCATACAGTTTGGATTGGCGGTATGGTTCTGTTCTGGGCAACAACTCCCTGTGCCTCCATGCAGCCTAGCATGGATGAGAGCAGCGATAACCCCCCGCCAAGGTAAACAGAACAGAACCAACATAAATGTATTGCAGATATCGTTAAAGTTAAATAATGTTATGTACACATTTTAGAATTAGTCTGATTCAAAGGAGAATCAGAAGGCTGAATGCTGACTGACAGAGGAGGATCTGGGGATGGAGGAGGGTAATTAGCTATTGAGCAATGCGAAAGCTGCTGATAATACTGAGGGACCTTATATATGAATGCTTAGATAGGTGTGGTATTCCCATAGGTAGATGGGGATCAGCTGAGAGTCAGCTGATACGAGCTTGACTAACGTGACCTGCCAGAACTAACGCTACGCTTGATTTTTGTCCTCTGCCGCGTTAAATGCTTGTGCTCTTTAAAGCCTGGTGGATTCTGATGTTTTTTGGCTGTCAATATTTTTATTGCTCATCAGCTTAAAAAAAACGCTCTGAATCTGTGTTTTTATCGTCATAATTGTGGTGGCCACTTCACTATTTCACACCCTTAGTTAAAGTGATTTGTAAAACATCATGGACATAGTTATTGTCCTTGGTGTGAACTAGTGTTGTCAAAAGACCCGGTATTTCGAGATGTTTTTCGGTGGCAGCAGAACTGACTAAACTTTTGGGTGAAACTTGTTTACTTTTTTCATACTTTTATTACTTGTGGAAAAACGTGAAACAATTTTAAATAAGTATAAAGAATGGCATTGGTTTTGTACATTTAATTTTTGTTTAACGTTATTAATAAAAATGTTGTTCAATTAGCATGTTTTTGTGTTTTGCTTTGGTACCGAAATTGGTACCGAGAACCGTGGATTTTCACTGGTATCGGTACAGAATACTGAAATTTTGGTACCGTGACAACACTAGTGTGAACAGCTCTTTACTGCAGAATGTTTACAGTTGCCAAACAACATCACAACTTGACAAAATAATGTAGAACAGAATGTCTGATCACAGGTGCTGGTGTATTTTCATTACTCAACGAAGGAAAAAAAACACACTCACAGAAAAACCATGATTTTTTGGTGGAGCAAATGTTCGCGTCTGGTGTGAAAGGACCGTAAATACTGAGTTCACAACTATTTCCTGAAACATTAATAACGTGATCGCTTCCTCGTTTCAACCACACTGGGTCAACAATACAGATTTGTTGTTAATGATGTTACATAGGCAACATACGTGAAGGAGGAGAAGGGGAGGAGGTGGGATGCTGAAAGAACTCACGACAGGAAGAGGTGAGAGGCAGCTTTTATATCCTGGTATATTAATCAGAAGATTAAATGGGCGTACTCCTCTCTAAATTATGTTTAATAACCACCTAATCAATTAGAGATCGCAAATAATGTCATATTATTAGAGCTCATTATCAAGTACCACAAAATAAATTATGTTTGATTCATTGTGGGTTCCCTTATAACATCATACTCAGGGATTTCCTTAGGCTGGCCACACACACACTTTTTTTTGTCCAATAAATCCTCTATTCTGTGGTGTCATTATGATTATTTAACTGCTCCCGATCGAGATGGAGTGTCCCCGAACTCAAATCGTAAATATCAAACACGTTTAACTGCCTCTGACGTGATACCCGTGATAGCCAATGAAGGCGAGCGTCACCTACTGGATGTTGCGTGTTTCTATAGCTGAAACTTGGGCTTGGCAGCCACAAACATGCCACTAAAGTAGAGTGCTGAGAAAGAACATCACCCATATTCTTTTTTTTTTCTATTGTGATTTTCACTGTACAACAGAACGTGCGCCAGGAGAGCCACCTGACAACGTTGATTGTCCTCCATGTGTTTTTCTTCTCCAGTCACGTTTGATTTCATGAGTCTCCGTGAGATCTCGTGTCACTGCGAAATCGTTCCTACAGTCAACAAGTGTGTGGTCTCGCGGTCTGGCCGAATCATCTACTGTGCGCGTTCAGAGGATTATAAGGCTAAAAATCGTTTGAAACTGTCTTCATGTCTGTGGTCTCCCATGGTTTTAAAATCAGTTTTTTGAAAAACGTCTAGTGTCCCAGGTCTTACATATTTATGTACGTATGCACACTTTTACACACAAGTGCTGATTGTCAACACTAAAATGTATAGAATGAAATGTATATGCACTGTAAAAAAAATAAAATAAAATAAAAATAAAAACTGTTTCAACTTAAAAAATGAAGTGTTCGTGCTGCCTTAAAATTTTAAGTTTAGTCAACTCAAATATCCAAGTTGTCACTTAGTACTTCACATTTCAATTTGACTAAACTTAAAATTTTAAGGCAAACTCTTACTTTTTTAAGTTCTATCATGACAACTCTTGGAAGATTTTAGCATGGTAAAGGATGTGACAATGTTAATGTATTTGGTCGCTGCTGAATTGCTGCTGTTGTTGGTTATTGCTGATGTTGTAGATTATTGCTGCTGCTACTGCTGCAAAGCAAGTAGGAACTTGCTACTTCCAATACATATGCCGATACGGTGCTATGAGTATTTAAGACATACCGCTGCTGCACAAGTAGCACATATAATAAACCGTAGCAGGTCTATACAGGTTGTTGCGAATCAGCTCATGGGGAAATATGAATAATTAATCATATGACGATTTGTTAATCTAATGAATAACTGATTTGTTAAATCAAATGAAAAATTGTGTGTTTGATTGGTCCAGACGCTACAAGGTGGAGCTGGGGAGGGTGGAGGAACTCTGAAAGCACGCTGCGAAATGCTCTAGTGAATGCTAACCAGCTATTTAAAAGTAAAGCAGTAAACTCATTGGCTCTGTATGCAACATGAACCAATCAGCTTGTGCCAAGTAGTTTAATGCTGTGAATATCATCAGTTTACGTTAACGAACCATCTAGAGTTTAATGACAGTTAGCATTTGAAAAAACATTTTTTTTTACAATGTATATTTAAATAGAATGAAAGATGTGCGCTGTTATGACATCACACGTCATCATTTCTGTGTCATAATTTCTCGATCAGATGCCAAAAGCAATCAAGAAACAGTGCTAATATATGCTCATGGTGTGCTGTAATACTTCTAAAAAAAATCATGATCCTATCTCCATACCAAAATATCAGATAGCCAGACAATGATTCATCTTTTATATCACGTTAATATTGTATGTACTGCAGCTAAGAGCATGAGCATGAAGTCCAAATGTCATTTTAGTAAGAAACTATGCTTCTAACCACAGGTCAAGAGTTTTGGTTCCAACCATACAACTTTGTGATGTTGTTTGCTAATGTTTGTTGAAACTATGGTTTCGGAAAACATAGCGACCATAGTTGGTTAACGATGCTTTTGATAAAACGCACCAGTTCAGCACAGCTAGTGACACAGAAATTACAAATTAATTAAAAGAAATTACAGAAACTTCACCTTTAAGCTCAGAAAAGAGAAAGCACTTTAACATCAAAAAATTACACACTTCACCTCTAACATAAAAGTGATGATGGTCAAATGTCAAGTGTTTGTTCTCAGTTACTGGGCTGTTGCCATATCATTAGCGACATGGACACGGCCGTCTGTCTACAGATCTCTCTCTCTCTTCCCTCCCCTTCAGCCCTTGTTCTAGTTTCTTAGAGATTTTTATTATTTTATAGACCTGTTCTCCATGCACTCCCTGTCAGCCTTTACCCCAGTACTCTGTGATTACAGAGGGGCTGGGGCGTGCGTGTGGGCGTGTGAGCGGAAACCAGCTACTGATATTTCGAAAGCGTGTTTCTCAGAGAAGAAAAAAAGGGTGGTCAGGCGTTTTTGCAAAGTCATGGGTGTGGGAGAGAGGTCGAGAGGGTCTGTGCGTACGATGTGTGATATAATCGAGACCAAGAAAGACAGAGAGGTAGATGTGTGGTTGGTGGTTAGGCGATGCTGTAGCGTTGACAGTATTTATGTGTGTGTGTCTTAATATCTCAGTCAGAGTGTGTTAGGTCTATATATGCCTAGCAGATAAAGCAGATAATCACATAGGCACAAGTTCTCAGAGTCGATTTCTCACAGGTCAGCATCTGGGCTCCATTAGAGATTAACAAACACAGAGAAGCATGACCGATGTAGATGGGCTGGGTGATATAGTCAAAAAAATATTATTATTAGAATATAAAATATATATTATAATATTATTATTACCTAATTGATTATATTAAATACATATACCTTAAAAAGTTTTTTTTTTTAAGTAAAATAAATACTTTTATTCAGCAAGGATGCATTAAATTGATCAAAAGACACAGTAAAGACATTTATAATGTAAAAGATTTATATTTCAAATAAATGCTGTTCTTTGAACTTTCTTTTTGAACAAAGCATCCTGAAGAAAAAGGTTTCCTGGAGAAAAAAAAAGGTTTCCACAAAAAATACTGTCTTCAACATTGATAATAATAAGAAATGTTTGTTGAGCAGCAAATCAGCATATTAGAAAGTTTTATCATGTGACACTGAAAACTGGAGCAATGATATTGAAAATTCAGCTTTGCATCACAGGAATAAATTACATTTTTAAACAAATTATTTTAATCTCCTGAGACCCGGTAAAAAATGTTAGGAAAACATTAGTATTTTTTCATGTCGTTACATTGTTTAGAGCATAAAAAAATGTTAAAAAAATTAAAATAAAAAATGATATTTCATTTATAAGTGATGCTACATAGTATCTCTGAAAAGCCCTGAATGTGCTCTGTACAGGACATCCAGACTTAAAACTGTGGCATGTATAGTCTCAGAGAAATTCACTAAAATATAATGTCCTCATATGCAGGGTCTCAGGAGGTTATACTGTTCTTACTGTTTTTAAAAAAAAAAAATGTCTTACTGAGCATAAGAGACTTCTTTCAAAAACATATAAAAATTTTACTGACCACAAACTTTTGAACCGTAGTGATTATCTTGATATTTATGTATTTTCTCTGAAAGTACTTTGAAAATATCTAATGAAATACTCAAAATATAGCAAAATCTAATTAAAATAGTTTTCTCATTATTTTACATTTATATCTTTTATTTGCATTTAGTAATATTGCTATATATACTAATAAACCTACAGATATTTTTAGTAAAATATTTTAACATACAGTTTAAACTGATTCACGAAAATGAATAGAACTTACCAACTTTAATAGAGTATCGGGCCCGATACCGATACCAGTATCGGTATCGGTGCATCCCTAATAAAAACACACCATGATGTAGCGGGAGATAAAATAAAAAATAAAGTGATATAGCAGAGACACTTGCCTTATCTCCACTGGAATAGAAGAAGTAACGCAGACGCACAATGTTGCAGTGGTCCAGTTTTCTCATGATCTGAAGCTCACGGTTCTGCAAGAAACACAAACAAGAAAACAATTTAAAGGTGACATATCATGAAAAGCTGACTTTTCCAGGTTTTAAGTGCTATAATCAGGTCCCCGGTGCATCTACCAACCAAGGAAACGTGAACAGGATTAACCCAGTAACTTTGCTTTGGTAAGCCTTTTTCTGTAAACGTCTGAAAAAACAAGCGCGTCCGATTTTGCTCCCCTAGAACTTAGTTTAGTAGGCTACTCACATGCTGTGACAGCCGCTTTCTGAACGTGTGCACTCAGAAAACCAAGTATCAGAAGTTTAAACTAACATGATTAAAAACGCATGATTTCAGCCTGATAAACATGATAATCAGAACCAAAACAGATGTTTTTAGCAGGTCCAAGCTGTAATGGCGCAGCTCTATTCTGGAAAACAGGGCGGGGAGCAGCAGCTCATTTGCATTTAAAAAGACAGGCACGAAAAACAGCGTGTTTCTGCTTCCACTCAAAATAGGCATTTTCAAAATGATATAATAAATGATCTGTGGGGTATTTTGAGCTGAAACTTCACAGACACATTCTGGGGACACCAGAGACTTATATTACATATTGTGTCTCCTTTAAGTTAAAAAATATATTCAGCTGCTAACAGAGTGTAGTACTCAGCAACAGCAGTACTCTGAGCTCAGTTTACCACCTTTAAACATTTAAATCCCCCACGCTCATTTCAAAGTGTAAAAACTGCAAAAATGCCATATGTGACCCTGGACGGGTATATTTGTAGCAATAGCCAACAAAACTTAGTATGGGTCAAAATTATCGATTTTTCTTTTATGCCAAAAATCATTAGGATATTAAGTAAAGATCATGTTCCATGAAGATATTTTGTCAATTTCTTACTTTCCTACTTTACTTTTCATAAACATATCAAACATATATTATTTGTAGAAATATGCGTTGCTATAGAATTCATCTGGACAACTTTAAAGGCGATTTTCTCAATATTTCGATTATTTTTGCACCCTCAGATTCCAGATTTTCAAATAGTTCGGCCAAATATTGTCCTAACAAACCATACATCAAGGGAAAGCTTATTTATTCAGCTTTCAGATGATGTATAAATCTCAATTTCAAAAAATTGACCCTTATGACTGGTTTTGTGGTCCAGGGTCACATATGGGATCACTGACGTCCCTTTGAAGCCTTGTGATCCAGCAAAAACAATTTTCTCCAATTGGTCATGAACTGATTGATTTATTCATTAATTTATTCCAACAATAAACTGCTGAAATAGAACTGTAAGAATGACTGATACATGTGAAGTGCAATTCAAATAAAACACATACACAGCAACAAATAAAGTTCTCGAGAGTTCTCGCTTAGAGGACTCGGGTCAGTTTCCGACCCACATCTGACCAGAATAATAGACCAAAATAGAGCTACTGAAATGGCCCGTAACCATGACAACCAGTGTCATCTGGCGGCTTCCATGAGAGAAACTGGCTAATCAACAATTTTATTTAAAGCACCACCCACATTGTACGTGCATCTGAGAGAGATGCTTCCTCTATTTACAATGTGAGCAGCAGAAGATGACGGCAAGGCATTAAACACAGGAAGACTTCATATCTGATACAACTTTAAGGCTTTTGAGGATTTGTTTAGTCAAGGCCACAGTCACTTTGGAAAACAGCAGGGCATATACATTCAGTGTCTGTTTGACATTAAAGTTTGGTTTGTTTGGTTGGTGTGAAGCGGTCTGACAAAATGAAGTCCACTTGAAAAGGTGGTTTGAGTTAAAGTCACTTTGGGATGGTTTGCAATTAGTATGAAAGGAATCTGTATAAACTGCTATAGATGACATAATTTAAATCAATGCATTGTCACAGTAATTATAATATAATGCATTTTTCGTTTCTCTCTGGATACATTGCCTTTGGACAGCAGCCTGTATTCTTCACATCTCTTGCAATGCATCTTGCAGACAAATTCACGCACATTTTAAGAACATATGTGTAAAAAATAAATAAATAAATAAATAAAAAATCTTGTAGTCATACAGTATACAGCAAATGCAGCCTCATAGATTTGCTGCTGTATATTATTGACAAGAAAAGTGCTCTTAATTTAATTATTTAATTTATTTTAGTTATCAGTTACTTTCTGCTTACTTGAATAATCACTTCAAAAAACTTAAGCAATGTGTACATAATTAGTAAATATGTGAAAGCATGTTCTAATTTGATAGTAAACTTTATATTACTATAATTTTTTAAGTTATAAAATTTAAAGTTGTGAGTTTAATGTTCGTTTTTGCTGTAGTATAAATAATTGTGAAATTATTGGTAATGTTATCGGGTACTGAATTTTGGTATTGTGACAATGAAGTTGTGAAAAGTAACCTGCGGAGACAGAGGGAGGGGTGCGGAATCAAACTTGAGATTATCTGCTGGAGCCGAGCATGGACCCGCAACAACAGCATGCGATGACATCAGCTGTATGCAGCAATGCTGTTATTCCAAACTTGAGTGTGTGTGTGTGTGTGTGTGTGTGTGTGTGTGTGTGTGTGTGTGTGTGTGTGTGTGACTCTATTAGCCTGTAACTCCATCACAATCACACGGTGTGTGGTAATTTGTGAACACACGAGTCACTGCCAACTCTGCATACAGTCACTCTCATCAGGCCGCTGATTTACACACACAACTTCATCCACTTCAGCCAAATCAGTTGACAGTTGAAATCAGGTCTCAAACATTACAAATTTTGAATCTACTTGTATACAATGGCTGTTAGGCTAAAATGATGGTTTCTCTGATTTAAATGAAACCATTTGAAGTTATTTTAGAGAAACCAAAAATATTGAGAACGAATAATATCACACTTAGAATAAGCAAAGATAGAATATCTTAGCTACTGTTTATTGCACACAGCCTTCTAATACAGTTATATACTTGGTTAAGGATAAAGCAAACAGTACCTTTGCTTCATGCACACGGCCAAGTACACAATCACTTCATGGAAAATGATTGATTCCTCTGAAAAGCCCCAATTACATAACTTCAGCTGCACTACTACATTACACAAGCATCTGAGTAACCTAAAAACAGCAGTGCTGGATTACTGGCTTCTGCTGACAAAATCAGCATATGGATGTATCATGTATGCACAAATTAATGTAAAATATAACACAGTTTCGGAAGTATAACCCACACACCTATATATATATATATATATATATATACACATACATATCTAGGTTTTTCTTTATTTTTTTTATACATACTAACTAATAATACAAATATCCACTAATGTCAAAGTAAGAAGCTTGTGCTTGTGAGATATGAATAGTAGGACTGTTCTCACATGCTATTATCATGTATGTGTGTGTGTTTGTTGCAGGGTAAAGGTCACACAGATAAACACCCCCTACAGATGCTGACACACTTCACACATACAGATCCTCGCTAGGAAAAGCTTTGAGCAAGCGAGGGAGCAAACTCCATTGAAAGGAAGGTGGAAAGAAATGACAGAAATAACAGCAAGAGTATCACGTGAAGCTTCATAGATGATGCACACACCTCATAGCGCTTGACAGGTGTTTATACTTAACGGGTTTTGCACTATTTTCCGAAAACAACAGGTGGCAGCTTAGAGAAAAAAAAACTCTCTAAATATTAGTGAGGATGACATATTGTTTTTTGACTAGTGACTGATTTCAACAGAGGTTGGTGTTAGCATGTTGCTAAGATAACAGCTGAGTACTTTAAAGTTTGTATGAACTGGACGTTACAACCAAATTTACTTCAGTATTGTGACGTATTTCTGAGTAAAACGGATTATTGAATGAGGAAAAACAGAGGCAGATGTGTTTTAGTGCACATCCTTGTAAAGACTACGATGAAAAACTACGATGTTTTAATGTGCTCTAACAAAGTAGGGTCAATTTTGACTTGATGCAGACTTAATACAAATATATAATAAAATATATACAAAAAATAAAAATATATAATACACAAATATTGGGTACAATAGTCTATTAGTAATTAGAGGGACATTTATAATGTAAAAAAACCCACTACTTCAATGAAAAATGCACTTTTCTCAGGTGAACGCAAAATGTTTATGTCTCCTTAGTGGAGCACAAAACTGTTATGTCTCCTTAGGGGTTCCATTGATTTAACATTTCTATGCATACTTCTTGTTATTGAATGAATTATATATTTAGAACTGACATTGCACTAGGTTCATCTGCTGTGTTTGATGGATTTTTGCCCTGGACTTCTACTTCAAAATACATAGAATTTGCTCAGAAGCCATTACAGAAGGAAGTATAATTATGCCTGTACCTTCTGGAACAACCTTCCTGTTGGAAATGTGCCAATGATGACTTAAAATGCTTAAAATGTTGCCAATACAGGCAGCACTATCACCCTAGAAGACCCAACAAAGTGCCAATGGAAAGGGCACACAGCTTCACAAACAAAACACACACACACACACACACACACACACACACCAGAACACAGTGTCAATATCTCTGTCAGGTCACTGTTCACATGCTGTCCTTCATATGTGACCATATTCTGTCTCACACATACCACATGGATGCACTACAGCTCTCTGATGGACATGGCTCATCCACGCTGGTCACTGTCATGATGAGACGAGGTTAATTTATTCTCACTAACAGAAACCGCTCGTTGACATGAGTGACCTAAATTTAATTTACACCACCATCTGATCTTACAGTCACTCTCAGCACGACAGCATTTATGTGTCGCTGCACAGGAAAAGTGACATCCTTCTCCAGTCAATCATACTTTTCTGCGGCAATATATTAAAGAGATGATGTCTGTCATCTATCAGCACAAAGTCCCCTTCCTTCTTACTAAGGTGCGCTTCAACTCCAGATTAAACAGCAAAGTCTACACTCATCGGATGCAGTGCTGTTGCTAATATGGTGGGAATAATATTAGGGGCCCTCAGGTCTAGTGGGGCCCAAAACAATTGAATTCCAATTGAATTGTCTTTACAACTAGGTCCAAATCTGTTTCTCACATCATCACCAGGAAATTATTTGGATATATACCTATGCTACAATTACCATTCTTTTAAAATGCTATAGCACAATTACCATTCCTTTTTTACATTAATGGGCAAAAGCACTTCACAAAAAAAAAAGGATTATTTATTACACTAAATTACACCACAAATGCTAAACAATGAAAAAAAAAAATGAAAGAAAAAAAAAAGATTATTTATTACGGTTGGTTTGAAATTAACTGTAAATCTACTGTACTATAAAAAAAATATTACTATATTATTTACTTTAAATACTCAACAGTAGTATTTCTTACTTTGTTTAATATCATTATTTAATAAAATTAATAATAATAATTATTATTATTATTTCATAGTCATATTTTAAGTCATATTATTATTTTTTGTGCAGCCCTATGCCAAGGTTGTGGGTTCAATTCCTAGGAAAAAGCTTTGCCAAACCCAAGACTGTGTATTAACCTTACGCAACAAGTGCCAAGTGTTGAAATCTTCCATGTAAATATGAGTTTTTGTCATAAGGAGGCATGACAAAGTGACAGGACATTTTCCCAACCAACTTTGATTCAAAACCCTGCTTCTCATAACTGTTTATTGAACATTGGATATCTTCTGAATGGCTGTTATTCAAGCAGCAGTTTTGTGTTCAAATTGCTTGTCGCTGAAACCTGTAGCATTGTATCTATTTAGGAAACTTTAGGTATTAGACTTACTACACCTGTATGAGCACATTATAATTTAAAAAATTATAATAATAAAATAAATAAATAAGGATATAGGAACAGAGACCAAAGCACTTTGATAAGAGTCTGAGATGTTCTTAAGAAAAGCCTTAAGGCCAAAAGCAGTACATACAGTCAAGGGACTGAGAAGGGATGAATGTCTCACTCTTACCTTAAATCGCTTGTCCTGAAGGACCTTCTTAATGGCCACCAGTTCTCCTGAATCACAGAGCTTGGCCTGATAGACCACGCCAAAAGAGCCATTCCCGATGACCTTGGTGTCAGTGTAGCTGACCTCCTGCGGCCGGTCAGGTCCCTGTCCAGGGGTCGCCACCACTGTGGTCACTTTGCTGCCATCTTTATCTCCTACAGACAGATAAAAAGAGAGGTGGCAGTTAGAGACCGACTCGTGTTACAAAAAGGCAATTGGAAAACACAACAAGGTCTCAGTAGTAACAATTTCCTGTGCATTTCACCTTGCACCTTAAGTACTACGTTTGAGAATCAAGAACCATTTTCTACAATTATAAAATAAAAACATTAAATATGATTGGTTCTCATGACATTCGGTTCCATTAAGAGCTCTTGGATTTTTTAATGTCTAGGAATTTATCTTTTTTTTTTATGTAAAAATGTTTTATGCATTTGGCAGAGACTTTTATTCAAAGCAACTTGTGTTGCATTCAAAGTATAATTGTTTAATTGTGAGCTTATGCATTCCCTGGGAATTGAACCCATGACCTTGGCATAGCTATTGCATTCTACTGTTTGAGCTAGAGGATACAATGTTGCACTTTTGAATAAACTTCACCAGTCCTCATTCACTTTTATTATGCTACAAAGAGTGGCCAAGATATTTTTCAAAAATATTCCACAAAAGAATGAAAGTCACACATGTTTGGAGAGTAAATGATGACCAAATTTACCATTCTGAGTGAACCATTCCTTTAACTGAAAAACCAAGGCAGCTTCTCTAAGAATGTTCTGTAAATTAGGACCAAACTGGGACATGCTAACAGGCAAAACTGGAAAGAAAATCTAGCTTGAGCTCACACATTTTACATTACTTTTCTTGGCAGACGTGTTCTCACCAAAGCGGCATAAAAGAAAGCGCATATTTGGCGCTCGGGAGGATTACTTCAGCAGGTGACTTAGGATGAAAGTCAATTATATTACTTACAAATGCAAACATAGCACATGAAATATAATACTCAGCATGATGTGGAGAGGTTTTCAGAGCGAGTATACTTTCTTTCAGAGCTGTGAGGGGTAATTAACATGGGAAATGAGTGCAGTGGGCCAAAAACATAATGCCATTAGTTTATCTTCATTTAGAATATTAGGGACAGATTTAAAGAAGTCATCAAAATATTTACTATATGCATTACCTCTTACAATATCATTAGGACTCGGCTGAATATACTTTGCAATGGTAGAAATGCGTCAACAGATTCTGCTATAAAAAATATTAAATTCCAATTTAAACAAAATAATATAAAATGACTCCTACTCCTTGGACAAAAATCAAATCATGTGTGTGCACAGTGATGTATGCATGTGATTAAGGGATCTGGTCCAGTATTAGTAGATGGTTGTGACTACTTGGATTAGCTTCTTTGAGTTCCAGTTCAAAGTCCCTCTTAGCTCTGTTAAAGGTTAAACTGCATAGCCTCCGATTGTCTTGTGCCTCTTCAACCCACTCACACCCACAGAAGCCCCAGCGAACAAATTACCAACGAGCCTCAAATCAGGCCTCCGGATCAACTGTTTCCCAAATCTGCAGTTAGTGGCTGATTGTGTTGTAGCAGTGTGTTTTTAAAGAACAGAATCAGGTCTAGAGTGCAGCTTTTCCTGAGACTCTGACAGCCAATGCCAACCGCATTGATATGCAGCTAGAGCGGGGCAAAGACAATGATTTTCAGATTAACTGTGATCTACGTTTGAACGTTCCGATATCAAGTTTTAAAATCCCAAGATCGACTTTTTAATCAATAGCTTTCTTCAGCAGATCCTCATTGATCATTATCTGTAGCATGCCTCTCAATCTGCAGATGTTGCTGAGTCAGTGGATCCTGACTGCCGGCCCATGCGCAAAGAACAAAGACCTAAATTCTGTCCAGCGCTCAGGAAACATTTCTTATTATTATAAATTTTGAAAACAGTTGTGCTGCTTGATATTTTTTTGGAAACGGATACTTTTTGCCAGGATTCTTTAATGAACAGAAAAAACAGCATTTATTTGAAACTGACAATTTTGAACTAATAAAACTATTAAAAACTTTACTGACCCCAAACTTTTGAACAAAATATACTTATATATATATATATATATTGGCTTTATATCGGCCATTGGCCACCCTGCTCTCTAAGATATTGGCATCGGTTGTCAAAAAACCAATATCAGTCGACCACTAGAAATGAGTGTTGTGCCTGTCTGTGATGAGGAGATTGTGAATAAAAAAAAGAATATTAGTCAAATTTAAAATAAAAATTTGCATTTGAATGCAAAAACGGTGCAATCGAATGTTAGGTGTGCTTAAGGGAGCCTTAAGGGCACACGAGATGCGGTGATGATGATATAAGTGTCCTTGTTTTTGTTATCCTATCCAGTTAAACCCACAAGATGCGCCACTGCGTTATTCATTCAAAATATTAGAGAAATGTATAAAGCTCAATGTGGAGAAGATCCTCTGTCTGTGTGTGTGTGTGTGTGTGTGTGTGTCATGACCTTAAATGAAATACACACTTACTCAAGTCAACATGAAAAGTCTTTGCAAACCATTTTACTTCCATGAAGTTCCATGAAACTGGATATTAACTGATGGGTCGACAGGTTTTTTTTAATTTTTTTTTTTATTTATTCAAGTGGTATAAAGGAGAATCTTTTGAGTTTCTGTGTATAGCCGATAACCTGTAATGGCCAAAATTATTTAGATATGCATAAAGTGAACCCTGAGTGTGTTGCAGTTGTGTGATCATGCAATTAATATCATGTTGACATTAACTGAACTTAACTGAAATATTCGCAAATGAATCAAGGATAGCTTAGGATAGGATAGCCAATACCTAGACCCTTTTCCTCCATCTCCATGGCAACTGAGACATCTCTTAGTCTGAGAAATGTTGTGGCCCACTTGCTAAAGACTCACCCACTCATCTGCATGAATACACACACGCACGCGGAGTGTGTGTCAAGGGTGACATTCACACACTCCAAAAATAACACCATAAAATGGCCATGAGCAAACCCCAGCTCAAGTGAGAATGAAGATCTGCTGGAATGCCTAATGTACAGTAGAATTAAAGATCTGGAAGTATGACGATCTTCATTACAATGTGAAACAATTTGCACGTCATCCCTTTAGCGTTTTGACGTGAAGGGTTTGCTAAAGCCGAATGTGATCTCAGGACAAACATCTCGTCAAACTGGTTCATGGGGTTTTCCTTTATTCAGGACAAGAAACTACTTCCAATATCCATTCCACTGCTTGAATACAGAGGAAACTAGGTTTAGCATGCATAACAATGTCCAATTCAGTCACAGAACTGAATTGCAACCAGACTGCACTAAGAACTAAGAATCAGCATATTTTAATGATTTCTGAAGGATCATGTGACACTGAAGCCTGGAGTAATGATGATGAAAATTCAGCTTTGCATCACAGGAATTAATTACACTTTACAATATATTCAAATAGAAAACGGTTATTCTACATTATTATAATATTATATATCACTGTTTTTACTGTATTTTTGTTCAAAGTCATTGGTGAGCATAAGAGACTTTATTCAAAAACACTTAAATGGGTCATATGATGCGATTTCAAGTTTTCCTTTCTCCCGACGAGTGCTTGCGGTGTTCGGCCAATCACAATGCACTGGGTCAGCTGTGTCAAAATAATGATCTTTAAAAAAAGCATCATATGACCCCTTTAAAAGATTATTATTCCAAACTTTTGACTGGTAGAGCATGCAATGGCAAAATCTTCCCAGCTATGTATTTTACCAACTGAATGTCTTTTTAATCACAAAAATTGTGAAAATATACACTTTAGTCTTGATTGCAAGACTGCAATTAATGAAAACTGTTGCTCAGTTTGTCAGTTAAACCCAACAGAAAGTTGCCAACAATATAGAAAAACAATTGTGGACGGAAATTACATGATAAACCAAGATTTGTTTTTCTTTGCTTCATTTTATGCAGCAATTAAGGCTAAAAATGTAACAATGTGATTAACAAACCATATATTTCTTATTCATGTAAAATGTTCACATGAAATCAACATAGTCTTCACTTTCATTTATAATTGATGAAATACATCAATATTTCTTCCTATACACTTTTGGTGACAAATGGTACCACCGATGGGTTAAACAATCAGTGACTGTAAATTGATCCATTCAGCCACTTCTGTTCTCCTGTTTTCCATTGACGTAAACTCTTTTTCACTCCTGGCTATGATGAGGCACGTTTAGATGTTAACTGTGTGATATTTAAGCATGGTAACTAGAGCTGTAACGGTACACATATTCATACTGAAAATGTTTGGTCTTTTGGTTCGTGAAACTTTTGTGTTTAGGGAATAGTGTGGCTATTTGTCCGGTTTTAAAATACCACAGCCAGGAAGAAAGGGACAAGCTTGCTAATTTGGGACAGGTGCTCTGTAATGTCCATTTACGTTTTAAAATCAAGTCTGCATGTATACAGTATTACCTCTCTGCATGGTTACAGAGACAGCTCTCATCTGAAACTTGTAAATCTACTTTTTAATTTTTTTATAAAAATCAGAAATGAAAAAAAAAATCAGAAATGAAGTCAATATTTAATTTTGTGTGCAGCATTTTGTGTGTACAGTTTTATTTTAATTTTTCTCTCCATGGGTAAAAAAAGGAACAAATGGACACAAAGGTACACAGACTGGCTGTGTGATTTTATTAAAGATAAGAGTTGTTCTGAGGCCAGACATGGTGTCACATGAAAAGATATAATAAAATATTTACAAAAATGTGAGTGGTGTACTCACTTCTGTGAGATACTGTATATATATATCAGGTCATTAATTACTCACCCTCATGTCGTTCCAAACCCGTAAGACCTTCGTTCATCTTCGGAACACAAATAAGATATTTTTGATGAATTCTGAGAGCTCTCTGACCCTCCACAGACAGAAATGCAACTGTAATGTTCCCAGGTCCAGAAATGTTGTAAGGATATCGGTAAAAGTGGCTCAACTGCAGTTTTGCGAAGCTACAAGAATACTTTTTGAGCGCAAAGAAAACAAAAATAACATAATTTGTTTAACAATTTGTCTCCCCGAGTTACGTCTTCCGCCATTTTGCAGAGTACCCATGCGTAATCAACGTAATCAGCGTTGTTTACGTTCGGGGGAGAAAGCACGCACATGAACGTAATTTGCGTAATCAGCATTGTTTATGCTTAGGGGAAAGTGTGCGTATGTGTTGTGATACTCTAAAATGGCAGAAGTAGTAACTCGGGGGAGAAGAATTGTTGTTGCTGTCTATGCAGGGTCTGAGAGCTCTCACATTTCATAAAAAATACAAAGGTCTTACGGGTTTGGAACGACATGAGGGTGTGTAAGTAATGACAGAATTTTCAGTTTGGTGTGAACTAACCCTTTAATTGCTGTGAAACTCTTTAAAATAAGAAAAAGATGCAGTGTGCAGAGGTTAAATCTGCAGTTTTAATTTCAACAGCCCAAAGGCAGTCAGTCTTTAACCCCAATTACAGAGGAGGGTCAGCCAGGACACCTTCAAAACATGACATGCCTTAGCGCAGGTAGAAATCGCTTTCTTTTACTCATACACACTGCAGATGTGTGGGAATGACTGTGGATTGATAAAGGACTGGTGAAAAATTAACCACACACAAACACAAATACTTTGAGATGAGATGTGAGAGTGTGGTACAACCCTCAGAAGAACACTTCATTGCAAATCATCATGTTTTGAATTAAGTAAATTAAGCCTATTTTTAAATGAACTCTATTATA